ACATCCATATTACAAATTTGCCATGCTTTACCGCCTCGATGATAATGCTTGAGGTTTTTCGAGTTTTCTTCACCTTTAGGTCCAATAGCCCTATAAATCATCTCTAAGTCACTGAGCGCCACGGCAAATAAAAATAATAGCCGTCACAGGCTCAGTCGGCTTCAGGAAATTTACTCGTGAGATTAAATTAGGGAAAGTATTATTATAACAAATACTTGTCAGTTTTAAGATAAATAAAAAAATAGATATTAAAAAAATGATCACTAGTTTTCTCTTTACATAATATTGCAAAACTAATTTTATTTTGATTTATTTTAATTTATTTTAATTTATTTTAATTTATTTTAATTTATTTTAATTTATTTTAATTTATTTTAATTTATTTTAATTTATTTTAATTTATTTTAATTTATTTTAATTTATTTTAATTTATTTTAATTTATTTTAATTTATTTTAATTTATTTTAATTTATTTTAATTTATTTTAATTTATTTTAATTTATTTTAATTTATTTTAATTTATTTTAATTTATTTTAATTTATTTTAATTTATTTTAATTTATTTTAATTTATTTTAATTTATTTTAATTTATTTTAATTTATTTTAATTTATTTTAATTTATTTTAATTTATTTTAATTTATTTTAATTTATTTTAATTTATTTTAATTTATTTTAATTTATTTTAATTTATTTTAATTTATTTTAATTTATTTTAATTTATTTTAATTTATTTTAATTTATTTTAATTTATTTTAATTTATTTATATTAATTAATTTTATCACTCGAAAAGTAAATTTATATTGTCAAATTTGAAATTGAATCATACATATTATAATATTATTTTGTTCGTCGACATATATTTTAGCCGGTATTTGGAATATTTTCACCAAAGGACCTAAGGTGCTCTTACGTTCACTTACGAAAACAAACTGGGGTGCCACAAAGTAAGAAAATGTATACAAAGTGAGGTGCCACAAAGTAAGAAAGCATTTTTACATGCGGGGTGCCACTACGTCGTAAAAGTCTGAGCGTTGTTAGCGACTGGCCTGACCTCTGGGGAGTATACGGTTCAACTAAAATCGTGTTTTTATAGAAAAATGGTCGAAATGGCACCTTTCTGAAATTTGGTAGAGGGGTTAGTAAGGAGTTAAAACGACCAAATATGCAATAAAACGATCTGGCACCTTGCAATGGTGCAACAACGTAAATATAGGTGCCACTTCGTCCATATACATGCGTTTTTGGTGCCTCAACGTACGATTACCTATATATATATATATATATATATATATATATATATATATATATATATATATTGCTCATCCATATGTATGTAGTGTAGAGGTAAGGGTATCATCATGAAAAGCTAGTGAGCTTATATAATCGTAGAGAAATTTTGATAATTGACGATGATACTGATTTTCGAAATTGATTTACATATATATAGGTGAGATATCTATATAACTATATACCATTGGATCTTTTCCTTCTAGTACACGAGCGCCATCTTAAATTTATACATTTTGGGGGACACTTTTTAACCGACTTCAAAAAAGCAGAAGGTTTTCAATTCGTCGTAATATTTTTTTATGTATGTATGTTCAGCGGTAATTTTTTAACACGTCGTCCGATTACAATGCTTCTTTTTTTGTTAGAAAGGGGGTACTTCCATATCAATTTGATCAAAATCTAATAATTGGGTCCATTAGAAAATCCTCAAACTCTTAATTTTTTATGTATACAGTATTTCCCCCTAGGTTGGAATCATATGGAAAACTTTTTTATTATTAATTTTAGGAAAAAAGTTATTCTTCCTAAAAAGTTCTGCATTATCTAAAACCTAGAATACAGTCATCAAATATCAAATTTTTTCCGTGGTATACGAGGTTTGTCAAAAAATATGAGTTTTACTCAAGAGTAAAGTACCTTTATTCTTTATACGACTGATAAAATTTGATATTGATGGTTGTATTTTAGATTTTAGACCATGCCGCCAATTTACGTAGAGAGTTGGTGGCATATGAAAGCTTTTTTATTACTAATTTTAGGTAAAAAAGTTGTTCTTTATAAAAAGTCGAGCATGATCTAAAACCTAAAATACAACCATCAAATATCAAATTTTATCAGTCGTATAAAGAATAAAGGTACTTTACTCTTGAGTAAAACTCATATTTTTTGACAAACCTCGTATACCACTGAAAAAATTTGATATTTGATGACTGTATTCTAGGTTTTAGATAATGCAGAACTTTTTAGGAAGAATAACTTTTTTTCCTAAAATTAATAATAAAAAAGTGTTTCATATCATTCCAACCTAGGGGGACATAGTGTATGTAGCGATAATTCTTTACCACCTTGTCTGATTTCTATGATTCTTTTTTTGTTAGAAAGAAGGTACTTTAGGGGTGGTCACATATCAATTTGGACAAAATCTAATAATTGGGTCCATTAGAAAATCCTCAAACTCTTAATTTTTTATTTATACTTAGCGATAATTCTTTACCACCTTGTCTGATTTTAATGATTCTTTTTTTGTTAGAAAGGGAATACTTGAGGGGTGGTCCCATATCAATTTGGTCAAAATCTAATAATTGGGTTCATTAGAAAATCCTCAGTCTTCATTTTTTTTATGTATATTTAGCGGTAATTCTTTACCACCTTGTCCGATTTCTATTATTCTTTTTTTGTTAGTAAAGGGGTACCTCAGGGGCAGTCCTCTATAAATTTGGTCAAGATGTGGTGATTGCATATGCACGATTTTGAAGTCGGTTTTTTTTTATTTATGTCATCGGCTTCAACTACTGTGGTTATATCGCCTCGTGTTCTGTGTATTAAAATTACTTTTATAACTTGTTGAGATAAACAACCGTATGAGATTGTCCTCCTTTCCTCTACACTCCATAAATCTAATATTGAAAATTATATTAACATTTATTTTGTTACCGCTCTGTAGGTACTGTTTTTATACTAACTTATGAAATGTTATACAGTGCAACCTCTTTAATCCGAACACCTAATTGTCAGACCTTGTTCGGATTATCGAATTGTTCGGATTAACGAATATACAATAAAACACCTCTTACACATTTTTAGACCTTTAGATCTATGTATGTATATTGATTTTTGTACATTTAAATGCATTATCAAACTACATATGGGCGACGCGGGCCGCGCTGCAGGTCTTTTCCTGTCAGCGTTCGGATTACAGGGGCGGAGTTCGGACTATCTCGCATCACGATTTGCGTTCGGATTAGCGTAATTCGGATTAGCGTGGGTTCGGATTATCGAGGTTGCACTCTATTTAAATTTTTTTTATTCACACCAACCTCACTAGAGCAATTGCGTTTAGTATATGGCACCATTGTTCTTTAAAGTTTTTATCACAAATAGTTTAAATAAAAGTATTTAATAAAATAATATAAACAGATTAAACAATAAATCACAAAATAAATTGTCACAAGTGATGGAAGTGTAACAACAAATGGCGGACGTGATGACAATTTTGGCCACAGTTTATAGCTTAAAAGAGCTTAAAAGAATCAGTTCGCTCACTCGGACCAATTGGATCAGTTCCCTCACTCGGACCAATTAGATGTTCCAAAATAATATCCACTCCAGGGATACAAATTCAGAATGCGCAGAAGAATGCTGTTTGAATATAGGCGGTTGTCATATAATGTATTGGTTATGAATTGATTTTGTATGCGCCAGGGATACAAATTCGAGTTGCGCAGTGTATAAACTGGAACATTGAGATCAAAAGTGCCGACGCAGAGTGAGCGAACTGATTCTTTAGCTATAAACTGTGCTTTTGGCCTTTGACGTCACGCTCGCACCATAATGTTGCCTTATTTTGAATGTAGAACTGCGACGTTTTGAGATCATTGTCAGTTTACTAAAGTTTTGTGGCTTAATATAATATTTTTTAACAAAAAATGCCTGGTTGTGCTGTGGCAGGTTGTCGTAATTTTAGCAAAAATACTAAAGGAAGCCAAATTAGATATTTTTCATTTCCTAAAAGCGACATTGCTAAAGAATGAGTTGTAGCGTGTAAACGAAATGATAAGATACCCAAACAAGGAACTCTTGGAAGCAACAAAAGTACTTGATATAGAATTTTATAAGATGCATGGAAACTATTTGTCTGAAGAAAATAAAATATTTACAAAACTAGCAAATAATACAATTGCAAAACTTAACAATAAATCTTCTGTGCCTTATGAAGTTCTTCTTTGCTTAAGTCGAACAAGAACTTATTCGATTACGCGACCTAAACAGAAAAATTCGTTTTGAACATTGTAAAAGGTCCCTAGCAAAAAAAATGTGAAAGTTAACTAATTTAATAAAGTTACATTTCCGTTCACCAAGATTGTTAATTTTATTTTTTGGGGTAAGATATTATTGTCTTAGTAAAATGGAGCTTCTAATGAAAATGAACTTAAATTATTTAAAAATAATGTGTTTTAATTTAGAACATATGTATTAAGCATTTTAAAATATAAAAATTTACAAAATTATGAAATATAAATGCCTGATTTTCAAACTTATTAAATAAATAATGTATTTCCATTGAAATATATTTCATATTTCTAATAATAAACTTAAATTATATAAAAATAACCTGTTTTAGTTTAAAAAAAATGGATTAGGTATTTTGGTACTTTAAGATTTTAAACTTATTATAAAGAAATCATGTGGGTATTTCCATTGCAATATTATTCACAGTGCTAACAATCGTAAAAATATTTATTAATTTATACAACAAAAGTACTTTAGATAGGCAAAATATTAATTATTTTCATTCATCGTGGCTTAAATCGTTGAGATAAATGCGAATTATTCATGCGAGGTGCGAATATGACGTCACATTGTGCGAGAGAGACAGAGCTACATGCGTGTCGGCATACCGGTGTACGTTTACTGTGCTCGTTTCTAAAATACTACCTACTTGTTTCCATAGTAACTGGAAAATTCTGGCACAATATTTGTCGTTACTATGAAAACTGATCGAGAACAAGTTGAAGTTTTGTCAATGTTTTTTATTAACTTGAATTTTATATGCACACAGAAAATAACGTTCCAAAAAGATGGATAGATTTTTAAAGCCTCGAGGTAAACCAGAAAAAAACTTGGGTGATCACAGGTTTGTACATATTCAGCTTTATTTTGCTTTTATTTTAGCACATTAGGTATGTGGACGTAGAAATATTTCGATGTTTTAAAATAATGTATATATAGGTATATTTTTACGAATCTATTTCATAAAAAAGCACTTTATCTATATTTTTTTGACACAGAAAATATTTTTGAAGTACCTATTTTGAACTTTATTTTATTAAAAAAATTAAATTACTATAAAATGGTTGTAAAATAGACACATTCAAGGAAGGGCTGTCCATTGTACATAATTAGAAGGAGCTTAATGAAAGAATAAGAATTTAGCAGGTGAATTTAACATTTTTTAGATGATACCGCGTAGTGAGCATATTATAAAAAAATTGAAAACTAGGTATTCTTTAAAAATTATTAATACTGTAGGAGGTGCGTAATCCAATGTAAAATATAGTGGTAATCATGATGATATTATATTTCCTCCACAGTCACTACTGAACCACTTATAATAATAGAAAGAAAACATTCTCGCCCTTGAGATTGAAAGAAATTTCTGAAACACATGTATTATACCTATACGTATTTCATTCTAACTCATCTAGAGACACTATGCTCATTATGTAATAGCTACTGGCCAATGGCTGTGATACTACGCCCGCATCGTAGATAGTCATGAATTTCACGACTGACAGTTCTACGCGACGTATTAGTATTTAGTTTGAATTTGTCTGAATAAAGATAAGTGGCGTTTGTTAAGTCAAACTTAAATTCAAAAATTGGTGAATATAATGATTATTATATGGAATTTGATAATAGTCCTCCTGAACTGAGAAGTAATGCAAAAAAAATTAATAAAAATTAGCCTAACATAAGTCAAATTAAATATTTAATTTTGTTCAAAGTTTCATTTTACTATATTCAACTCCTACCATGTCTGTGGCCGTGGAGAAAGTACAGTCTGTTACTCTGTTGGAAAGAAAATCCGATACTCGTGATTCTTCACGCTCGCGTTCAGATTATTCCACTTGTATCGAATTTTCATTCCAACCTTGTTACAGAATATACTAATCTATAATTAAATTAAGAATTAAGTTTACAGGTTACAGGTGGTTTACAGATACATCGTCTATACGGTTCCTCTATAACTGCCTCCTACATAAGGTTTTTATTGTACCTACACCAGACACACGCTTATTTTTTTCAGCTGTCCTTATTCTACCAGGTGTTCAAATAAGAAAGTACACCAGCCCTATATAAGGAACCGTTTATCGTACAGATCTATGATTTTTTTTTTAAATAAGTGGTCCCTAGATATCGCTACAAATTATTTTCAAGTTCCTAACTTGGCCGATAGGGAGCAGTAACGCATATGACCAGTAATATTGTGACGATAGTCGTAATTTATTTAGAGTTTATTTAAAACACACTATTTACAATTTATTTCAGACGTACTGATTAATTTATATAATACTTAGACACTAACTTACAATTCTAATTTATTTATTACAATTTATGTGTTCAGTCCAATACTCTACTCAACTAAACTGTGCGCCGATGAGCTGGGCTATTTATACCAAGTTCAACTCTGCTACGAGAAGTCTCTAGATGCTCCCGAAAATTCCATCTCTGACTCAACGGCACTCTCCGTCCTTTCTAGCCATTTCTAGTGCGTCAGCGGCATTCCTGGGAGATTCCGTCGTTTCGAGCATGAGTCGGGTGCCAAGTTGCTTTAGACAGGGTCGGCTTTAGGAATTTCATGACAATATGTAAAAAATATAAGATTTATAATCTGTGCGTATTTTTACTCAATTATGACTATTTACTAGTTTATTTGTATATCATTGGTCATAAGAAGAATTACGCTTTCTAATGATGACCTTAAAAAATTAAATAAATATGAAATGAAACTAAAATAAAGATATAATGTTTAGCTTTCTTATATTATACTCTTCACAGTTTCTTCACAGCTTCTTAACTCTTTTTTTCTTCAGAATCAATATACTTCATATCCTTGTAGAGCTTGATTTTTCTGAGTTGTAATCGGTTTTTGTTTCTAAGTTGGGTTTTCTTTTCAATGTTTCAAAACACTTCTTAACCACTCAACTATATATTAAACTGGAAGAACAAAGCCGATCCAACAAAATCAAGCCACATTGGGAGGTGATATTTGACACTGTGGCCCCCACACGTGTTTATCGAAATGCACTAAAAAGGAACATCAAAATTAAATTTAACACTCATTACATTCAACTACGACACCTTTTAATTTAAGAAAATGTTCCAATAATAATTATTAAAATAGCACATTATTAATAAAAAATAATATAACTTATCGTAGTACGCCCGTGGGAAACGTGACGTAGAATGCTCAAAATTGACAGTTTGGCATCCAAATTGTCACGTGCACCGACCATTTTTTTCATCCATGTCGGCTTAGAAATTAGGAGTAGGGTTTATGTCATATAGCCATCCAGAAAGGATATTGGTCTATGCCATCCAGTTTAATATCAAGGTCGGTGGGTTTATGTCATATAGACATTCAGTTTATTATCAAGGTCGGTGTTCTTAACCCCCAATTTTTAGTCAATTTCATATTTTTGATTTCTGATTTTTTTTAATGTCAACCCCCCCATTGAACTCATTTTTAATTAATTTTTTTTTAAATTCAATAGGCGGATACGTGACATCGAACGGACGGACAGACGAACAGACCTTTTTAGCTGTTTAAAATTTGATGAGAAGGATTTTGATAAAAAACATTTTCAAATTTGGATCAATATTAAAAATTTTGGTCTCGAAAGTAAACCTAAAAATCTCTTCGCAATTTAATGTGTGGAGATAATAATAATAATAATAATAATAATAATAATAATAATAATAATAATAAACGTTGATACCTCGCGCATTATAATGCCTGCGTTGATTTTTTCTTCGATAAAAAAAAGGATAAAAATTAATAAACTTTTTTTGGAATAAACAATTTAAATTTTTACCTAAACCTATTAGACCGTCAGATAGTGATAAATATTACCAGAATTCAAGAATTATAGTATTTTTAAATTTAAGACAGCCCTTAAAATACACATTTTTGAAAATCAAATTTAAGTAACAATTTTCCTCACTGCATACATATTGTTGTTTATTGTATCGCTACGTATTTGTACTTCCCTCTTTCATTGGTCGTTGTTTTTGATATTTTTTTTTGCCCTACTTAGTTATGTTGTTTTTTTTTTTCATTGGATTCAACCTTCCTGAGGCAAGTGCATTTTCATTTGTTTGTTAAATGTTAAAATTACAGTTGTTTATTTATTTGATATAGTTATTATGGTATATACATATTTTGTCTTTGATTGTTTATTTCTGCTCTATTGCTCTATGGTTATATGCAGGTTTACTCGCGGGTTAAGTGGAAGAATATTTTTTGTTGCGTCTAGTGCACAACCAAAAATAAACTTCGCCCGTGTATATATGTATTATTTTATTGTATTTACTTTAAATTAATGGAAATAAAGACGATTATTATTATTATTATTATTATTATTTAGGTGCACCATTTTCGCATCGATGGGTTATTAAGACAAAATAACTAATTTTAAAATAATGTATGACTTTTACTAATTTTAAAATAAAATAAACATGAAAAAATTAAATATTTAATTTAATTAGTCCCTAGCCCAAATTTGAACCCGGGCCTCTCGCGTGGAAGGCACCTCTCATGCTTTTGGTTCTAGTTTTAATACTCGTAATTAAATTAGTTTCATATAGTTTGATTAAAATTTTAGATTTATTTGTAAATGTGGGCGAAATAAAAATAGAAATGCCATTATTTATCGATTCTACACAAGAATAACTCATTTTTATGTATACTTAATCTCAATAAATAAAAAATAACGTTACTTATATAAAACAAAAAAAAATAGTAGCCGGGTGACCAATAGTAGTTTCTTCAACAAGAGTGGATATGGGCAATCACTCGAGTTGTACAGTATATTTTTTCTACGAGCCACTAACAAAAATCTAAAAATTTTAATAGCTCTTTGTGTATTAATTAAGAGCGAAAACTGATACTTTTCAGCTTGAGACAGAAAGTTGACCGCGCGATGCGTAGCAGAGTGCGGCAATCTGTCGAAAGTGGCATTTTTTGGGGCTGTTACAGTTAACCTCGAAAAGGAGATTATGCATGAAGCAATGCTGCAGTCGAATGTTATTGCCATTGATGCAAAGAGATTACAGGTATCTGAAGGCTTCCATTTTTGTCGGTATTTTCCAAATTAAGCTATATCATCAGCAATTTCAACACTTGTTGAAGGTCCTGCGAAAGCTATCTCACGCATGTAGGTCTGTTGAGGAATGAGTTCTTGTTCAACTACCTTATCAAGTAGCGGACTTTTTCATACTACCTTAATCCTTAATTTTTGTAGTAGTTGTCAGTAATACAATTCCTAATAAGTAAAATAATACAAAGCCAGAAAAGACACGATATCACTAGCAGGACACGGATGTGAATATAACCGATGGCAATTGGTGATAAGGGAAGCAAATGCAAGAATGCAATAATGGGATATAACCAGGTTAAACATGGCAAGGTGCCAATGTTGCAGCATGTTGCGGGTTCCCATGAATAATGATACCTAATGACTTTGAGGCGTGTGTTGTGATATACTTTACGGTATTTTACGAGATTTTAACCGATTTTTCCACACAAGCCCATCGAATGTATGAAAACGTACATCATCACTAGTCCGAAAAACAGATTGGTTTGAATGATCAGAATGGATAAGTGCATTTTAGGGTCGTGAAATATTTCTGTTAAGGAAAAACGAATTTTCCATGTGTTATCCCCAAGAGCCACTCGTAACTTTCCTTTTATTTTACTCAACGTCGATGTACTTTTCAACCCTCTTCGAGACTTGTATGCGAAAATGGGGCACCTAAATCAATCACTATCTGACGGCCTATATTCTATATTATTTATGGGTTGGATGGGAGACGTATTTTCGGGTTGAAATGAAATAATCAAAAATATAAACCCGACAGATTCTATGGACAATTCTGATGGATAGACAGATGCCAGTGCAGTCATTTTCTTTTGTTTTAACAGTATAACAGATTGTAATCACGCCATAAACGGTCGACCGATCCATTACAAACCGAAAAATGCTTTTGAAGGGAAAATAACTTATCAAAAAGTGGGAAAAATGGGAGTTAAGACAGAAATTATTCCTAGCCCGCTTCCTATCCAGGAACCGGTCATTTTACCGAACTCGGAGTACCAGAGGCTTAGGAAAGAAGCCAAAGTAAGTACTAAATTATTATTTATTATTACAAACTAATTAGGGCTGAGGAATGAATCATATTAAGCCCAAAATTACAAGTTCAATAACAAAGACAATTATTAAATAAGTAATTAGCAAATAACATAATGCAAACAAAGCACTAAAAATAAACTTTTAGTTTTCGTTAAAAAGTCATCGAGTCGGTTTTTGAATACATTTACTGACTGTGCGCGAACAACACTCGAGGGTAAATTATTCCAAGTATAAAAAACTCTATTACAAAAAAAGTTTTGTCGGGTACATGTTTTAAAATATTCTTTGCTCAACTTATATTCATGTCCACGGAGGCGCTCATCTGTATTCCGTGGGAGTATACCATAGAGGTTGGATGAAAAAGTACCATGAAGAATTCTGTATGTCACAATTAAATCACCCCTTAATCTTCTGTGGGCAAATGAACACAAATTCGCCATGTTAAGCCGTTCTTCATACGATGGTCTGATTCTGCCGAAAGGTATTCGAGTAGCGTAGCGTTGAACATTTTCCAATCTTTTTTGATCAGAAACCAAATCAGGACACCACGCAGGTCCGACATATTTCATCAACGGTCTAACGTAAGTTGTATAAAGTTTAGAAAATGTTTGAAAGTTCACACGCGTAAAGGACTTTTTTAATAGGTAGATCATTGAGTTCGAACGTTTACATACCGCTGATATGTGTTCTGACTACGTTAATGAAGAGTTTACAATGAGTCCCAGGTCGTTATAGGAGTTCACAGTTGCTAACGCACTACCGTTTAGATAATAGTTCACGCACGGGTTATTTTTTCCTATATGCAGGACGACACATTTTTCCGCGTTTAAAGGAAGCAGCCAGGTGTCACACCAGTTTGAAATAGTTTCAAGGTCTTTTTGTAGCTGGGTAGAATCTGTCACTGGATTACAGTATAGCTTAGTATCATCAGCGTAACACGAAATATTAGAATGTAAGTCTTTGCCTAGATCTGCAGCGTATACCAGGAATAGTAATGGCCCTATGGCAGAGCCTTGAGGTACACCACTTAGAACTGGATACTCTGACGAGAACATCTGTCCAACTTTTACCTTGAAGATGCGATTTGACAAAAAATCACTTATCCAGAGAAGTAAAGAGCCGCGAATGCCAGCTTTTTCTAATTTATAAAGCAATCTCTTTTTGGGAACACGATCAAAGGCTTTAGCGAAATCAAGATATACGACATCGACAGGCTCTTTATTGTCCACAGACGTAGTCCAATCGTTTAAACAGGTCATTAGGTTTGTTAATGTGGATCGGCCTTTAATAAAACCGTGTTGTTCTTTTGGCAAGACGTCATAGTTCTTAAAAAAATCAGACATATAATTGGTTAAGATGGATTCCATTATTTTACAAGCAATTGGGACGAGGCTTATTGGACAATAAATAGTATACTGTTTAACGAGCATTCCTTGGGAGTTGAACACTATACTTTTTCTATGGCTATAACATGTTACTCATTTTTATTTAGTATTTGTAATTAACTTATAAAACTTAAATAATAGCTCTCATTTAGATAATAATTTAATGTTTCACATTTCATGGAACACATGATTTTAATAAAATAATTATTAGGGAATGACTACTTTTTCTTATCAGGAAATGTATCTTATTTCTTAATTAAAAATTGTTAAGAAAATCTGATTTTGTATTATAGTCGTAGAAAATAGTAGGTAGGAATGTATATTGTGTAACAAATGCAGAAAATAACCTATTCCACACGATGTGTGAAACTTATTCACGAGCGAATATAAAAGCCACAATTACACGAGTGTGGAATATGATTTCTGCATGAGCAGCACACTATACTTTTTCTACGAACATAATGACTAAAACACAAATCGCATATTTTGTTTTAGATAATTTGCTAGCATATGTATACGTATTTTTTAAAATATTAATTTTAAATTTATTACAAAAGTTAATATTAATGACGTTATATAACTATTAGAAATATTATGTGGATTTAGAAGGTTTTCAACATATATGTAACTATACAGTTGCTAATATATTATAACGCTTAAAATTGATTTTAAGGTTTTGACTCCAGCACAAAAGAAGGCTATAATCGATGAGGCCGAAAGACAGAAAGCTCAGAAATTGTTGGAAAGCCAACAGAGGAAGGAAAATTTAAAGAAAACTCATAAAATCCAAGTAGCTGTTCCTGGAAGTAAATTGGAATCTGTAAGAGCAATTTTCAACTTTAATTACTATATCAATAAATTATCGTACTTCTCAGAAAAATACAATTTATTTGAAAATTCACTGTAAAGCTTATTTTGGTTACAATTTTTTAAAATTGAATTTGAGTAGTTGTAGGTAAGGGGGCGTCCATTAATTACGTGAGGTATTTTTGAGGATTTTTTGACTCCCCCTCCCCCCTGGCGAGATTTGGTAAGATTTTGCTTAACTCCCTTCCCCCCCTTCCCTAATCTCAGGTGTTTTTGGTGTAAATGTGTTGGATTATTAAAAAAAAACAGTAGAGGTGTGTAATGTGACACTTCCCAACCTTCAATGACGTTAGTAATGACAACATTACATATATGGTTGTAAATAAACATAATTATAAGATTTTTCCATATTTTATTCTAGAAATACTTTTACTATAATTTAACTTTACTTTCACGCAATTTTACACCGTTTTCTACTAGAAAAAAAATTACGTGAGATTTACGAAAACCCTCCCTCCCCCCTAAGTGAGATTTAGAAAGATTTAGTGTTATTCCCTCCCCCCCTTGAACACCTCACGTAATTAATGGACGCCCCCTAAGTTCTACTTTAAGAGATGCTGAATTTGCCCTGCCTAAGGATAATAAATTACTAATTTGATCTTCTTTTGTTTGTACTTACAGAATTATGAGGTTTTTTATTCGTTAAGTACTGAATATAGTTTCAAAATTTGGACTCTCGGGTTAAGATCTGGACTGTGCTCGAATTAAGGAAATTTTGAACAATTCTTAAAATGTGGGGGACAACCATATACGTCTAGTATATCGCCACTATCATAATTCTCTTTTGGCACCAACAAGCAGCTCGTTGCGGCACTACTGAGCATGCGCATTGAGTCGTTTTCAGACGATGCTGTGTCATTAAACAGTGTCGGATTTATTTCCAATATTGAAATTATTTTTTGCTTAATTAGAAAGTTTTGATTTTCACAAAATCTATTACGTTTAGCGTTGGTTTCACTAGGTAATTTTAATTAGTCTTAAAATACAGATGTAGGTATATAAAAAAATATTTAACGACATAGGTATTAATCGCCTTTTAATAAAAGAGTTCGTTATTAGATTTTTCGGCTAACGAATCCATATTAAATAAAAAAAATTTGATTTGACAATGTCAATTTACTCATACCGTTACAAAAATATCAATTAGGGATAGTCATAGATAAACGGTTATTAATAGAAAGTAGACCATTAATGAGGCCAATTAATACCCGATTTTGTCAACATTAACTAGATGGATTAATACACGGTTAATGGAAAAATATGTACAGTTGGTTTCACATAAAACGGATGCATAAAAATATATATAGTTTAAAAAAACTAAAGAACACGCTTTTAGAGCATATCAAACTAAAAAGTTAAAACTAATTTTTCAAATAAGCTTAAAACAATAATAAATGGAAAATACTAGTATTATTGTGAAAAAGCGTCAAGCGCTCGATGTACGAGAAATATGGACAAAGCGCCCCACGCTTTTTTCACAATAATACTAGTATTTTCCATTTATTATTGTTTTAAGCTTATTTGAAAAATTATTTTTAACTTTTTAGTTTGATATGCTCTAAAAGCGTGTTTTTTAGTTTTTTAAACTATATTTATTTTTCACTTTTTAGTTTTTTTAAACTATATTTATTTTTACTATTTAGTTCGATTAAGTTGAAATTGCTGAAAAAAAAACAATTATTTTTTTTTCATCCGTGGACGGGAGATTAGAACCCACGATCGGTGAGTCGACGTGAGCGAAGACCCGCGCCTTAGACCGCTCGGCCAACGAACGAACTTGAGGTAGTGGGATATACTGACAGTAATAAGCCACTTGCTTTTAGTCCAAAGGAGAGTTACAAACATACATACATTCATACAGGTGAAGCTAATAAAAGCGTGTTAAAAACAAATAGGTTTTTGTTTATATAGTTTATATAGTAATTAAAAATCATATATGTTAGTTTTAATAAAAGTATATAGAATTGTAAAACAAGTAAAACATTAATTTATTATTATTATACATTTTTATCGCTTGAATTAAAGAAAATTATGTATAATCAATAAAAATCAATAATAAAATATAGGCAGGCAACAGTATTTACTGGAAAATGTATGAGAAGTTGCCTAAGTTTAATAAGTTGTCTTTGAAGAATCATTCGATCATGTATGAAGAATCCAACCTATTGTCAAAATAAAAAAAATACCATTAAATAATAGCGTGAAGTTAAAATGTATAAAAGAAGGATCGTTATTTATATTTTCATTTTTGTTCGAAAGAAATGAATGATTAAAACTGGTTTACCATCAGTAAGTCACAAAATTGCATTTCAGCCACATATAATAATCAAAGGCAGAAATCTTGAATTCTAGTCCTTGCTGAATGAACATTTAAGAATAAAGGGATATTAAAGAACATTGTAAAATGATAATATTGTTTATTTAAAACCTTTCAAGTTTCTGATGTCTACTATTTCCAGCATTACTGTTATTATTACAAAAATAAAAGTAATTTTTCTTCTTATTGTACACCTATCCATTTAATTCTTTGATTTAATTTCCACTTTGCTACTGAAATTTTTTTTATATAAGTTTCACTGTTTTTTTGCTAGTATTTGTACAATTTTCAATACAGCAACTCCGATTGCTTATTGTATTGTTTTTACCTACTTTTTTGAAAAAAAGTAAAATGTACATGTGTATTTAATATGCCAAAATTACAAAATATCGCCCTAAAATGCACGAATTATCCGCACTAGCGCTAGTATCCCTTTTGCTTCGCTTTCCATGACTTCGCACGGAGCGAATAGGACGAGTTTAACATAAATTAGGCTTTCCAACGACCTGTCAAACAATAGCTGCCAGTGGGAAGGACTCACATATACAAGGGGCTACGACATAGTCTTCCATCTTGAACACTATTTTATTTCGAAATAGTAGTCGCTAAGCCTGCCAATTTAGGAAAAATGTATAGGCGGTTTTTTAAAAAAATAATATTTTCATTGTGTTCGACATAAAATATTTAAATTTAATCCATTATTCATCCACTGACAGTTCTTTTGTTTGGAATGCCTAATAGCGCAACTACACTGAGAAACAACTATTGTATTTGCTTGTATGCGTTTTATGTGAAATCAATAATTGTACAAATTATCATTATTATCACTATAACTTTAAAGTTCATTATTGGTGATGTAAAAGAATGAGCTTAGAACAATTTTTCCTGTAGATGCGTTCCCTTACCAATTTTAGTTTGCGCTTTAGCTGTATTAAAAATATGCCATTGATGCCCATATCTAATTTTTTTATCAATCCATGTTGTCAACAGTAATTGGTGGCATTATTCTTTTACTCGAGGAGGTTGACATAATGTATCGAGATTGTTTACTCCAGATAAAAATTGCATTGTTTTTTTTTGCAGACAAAAAACAGTATTGAATAACCAACCCAAAATGCAATTCCATATGTTAAATCTAACTCTACTAAAGCGTAATATACACTTTTAGCTGGTTTAAAACCTATTTCTTCTGCCATAATTCTGACTGCAATATATCCAGAAGAAAGTTTTATGTTTAGGAATTCTATATGGTTCTTATATTTCTAATTGTCTAAATTAATGCCCAGAAGGTTTTTTTTAATAATTTATTTATTTAACATACGAGGTTAAAAATCGTGCCTGGTGAGCACGCTACCCCCAAATACCAGAAATTTAGCAGAATTCTGTATTTCAAGCAGATGTAGGAATCCATGGACTTGGAACCGACAGCTTTATATCTCCTTCGAAAGATGACACACTCCACGCTTATACCTCGTACTCATTGCTATAGTGCCTGCCAGCTGTGGTATGCAACTACGCGTTTGGGCTTCTATAGGTACGCCGACTTTTCTTGGATAGTCACACATCCAAATATGAAGTGTTTGACTGCAGATATCGATACACAATAATGAACCTGTTAAGCCGGGCCGCTGCGACAGAAGTTTTATTGTTTTTTTTGTCTCAGTATATTCAATATTATGACTAAGGGTTACTACTTTTGTTCTTTCCTTATTTATGCACTTATAGTTGGCGTCGCACCATGCTTTGATTTTCTTAAGCTTACAACAAAATTAAGATATGGTGATATAAAGAACACAGGGATCATTGCTGTGCCATCAAATCGTAGTATCATCAGCAAATAGAGCAAGAGTACTTGTAATTTATATAAAGAAGAAATAAAATGAACTTTTATCTAAAACTAGAGAGTCCTTAGTCGTTTTTACCATTTGGTTACGTCCGAGAATACCGATCAAGGAGAAGCGACAGTAGCTGTCGGTGCCTTTGATATCCGATGTACCTTTTTCACAGTATGACTTTGACTGATACACAACTTAGCACGCTGAGAAAACATGCTTATTTTCTACACTGAGCGAAATAGTTTGGCAAATTATCTGAAATTATTGTTATAGTCCATGCGCAAATGTTGCAATGTGATTTAATTACATTGCAGTAGTTAGGGTTAATAGCAATGCTGAAATTTCGGCACCAAAATATAATTCATTATGTAATAATTATTTATTATAAAAGTAAAAGACGTTTATTATTTTATAATTTATCTATAAAATTTGTTTAATATTTGGTTTATTTATTGTTAAAAATGTAATAAAAGCCCCATATTAAAATTAAATTACCTTTTCCTTAACTGAAAATAAGGTAAATAAAATTAAGGGTGTTAAAAAAAAATTAGGTAACAATTAAAAAGACATTAATTTTGAGAGGTTTAACTAAATATTTGCAATGTGCATATATTTTCAAAGCTTTTAGGTTTAAAAAGTACTTACATATTTTTAGAATTTCTAGATTTATATTATATTAAAAGGACTTTCAATTTTATCACTCATTTCTGTAGAAACAATTGTTTTCTCGCCAAGTTAAACCAGATGTCATTTAAGGTTTATGTATTTAGAGTTAAATACCTGGCCTGGCTATTACCCAGA